TACCAGTTTTAAACTCATCCTCTGCCTATCCATAGCACGAGTATATTACGCACTATATAATAAAACACAGGGTTTCCATTATGATTGGTAAACCTTTAACACATAATGTAATTCTGAACACTTAACATTTAAAAAATAACTTCAAACACTAATACTGCTTTTTTCTACATTCCCAAATGATATTTCTCATTACATTGAATAGAAATAAAAGGGACACTGCCCACCCAGTTCTAGTGGGAAGGTTAACAGTTAGTCACTGCCCCCTGATGGCTAATGAGTGGTTTCATAGCTTGGTTTAGAGATCTTGGCACTGTTTAAATATGAAATGGCTCAACACAGGAATGATCAAACTTAGTGGTAATTTCCTAATTTAAGACCATTTTTGTATATTCTATGGTATTAGCTTTGTGTCAAGCTTTTTTTGTGATTCATCTGTGAGTTTCACAGACCCATTAGGACAGAGGATGCACCACAACACTGTTAGTGTGGTGGCCCCAACAGCAGGGACACGGGAGTGCCCACATCCACAGTTAATACCGCGACTATGAGGACACTTAACCCAAATGTTATTACCACCTTTCAGCTCCCCACCATCCCCTCCTCACATACTCCTAGCATGTCTTAGGGTCCCAGATTATACAGTCATTCATCAAATATTCCTGGCACATCATCTTGACTTGTTACTGACTGAGCTAGGTACAGGAGATAAAGCCGGTGACTACGCACACAAACTGGTGTGCCACAACAGGTTTTAAAACATGCAGTACTTGGCTATTTAGTTAGCGGCACTGACCTGTTCCCCTGAGACTGTCAAATTTTAAAAAATGACAATAGCCAACACAATAGTCGTCCAGTGTGAATGAGTCAAAATTAAACCTATTTATTGTCAGATCAGCAAAAACTACATTTTGGGGGTGCTGCAGAATTTTAGTAATTATATGTGCCACAAGATGAAAAATGTTGAAAATCGCTGCTATAAGCCAATAGGAAAAAGAATAGAATCAGGAGACATCTCTCTCTATCTTTGTCTTTCTCACTCACACACACACACACACACACACACACACACAAGGAAAAGAAATCAATAAATTTGACCCAAAGTATTCTTGTAGCCATGACTAGGAAAAATTAAAATGTGATATGCAATACTTGTTTCACCTCCAAAGTTAGGGAATTTTAAAGGCTATATATATGGCATATGGTGTTATTACTTAAAGCATTTACACTATGGTTTTATTTGGCAGGATAGTGTGTGATCTTGAGGAATCTGTATTCTAATTACTTGACCTAACAGTAGATGTTTAGTGTTGTAGAGGTAACACGCCCCGTGCATCAGCAGTTGGTTTTCTGGCGGTCGATGCACTCTGCTTACATACCCTGAGTGAGGTGACGTGGTCGCAGAGCCAGCACTCCAGGGCTTCTGTGGGATGTTAGCCATGGGCACACTGACAGAGGAGACCTCAAGGGGAAAGGCACTCGGTTCCGTCATTGAATGACAACTAACATTTTTAGTGATGACTCTCAGTCATTAAAGGTGGTTCAGGGCATCATATTTAAGAAATTTTGGTAGCATATAATATTTAGAAAAATTTACATTAGAAATAATCTGGTGTTTTGAAGTTAATAAACTAAAAGATTCACTGTAAAGGGAGCATATCATCTAATGCCAAGAAAGTGACCCAGTACTTTGTAGTGAGAAATTCATGTAGCTCAGGGCTCTTAAAAGGACTGGTTCCTGATGGTCTCAATTAAACACAATCATAGACCATAATTAAGACCTGTGAAAGCCTGGGCAATCCAGAAATATGCTAGGGAGTAGACGTAAGGAACATATCTCCTCACTGTGTCACGTGCCTCACCCTTAGGAACACTTCCTCACCTTTTCAGCTGAGTACAGGAAGCCAAACTAAGAATGAAGGCTGAGACTGTAATATGCATGGCATGTAGTTTTTGGATTGGATTAGGTTGGCCAAAAAGTTCATTTAGTTTTTTTCCATAAGATGACTCTAGTAGTACTTAGTTGTCTTTAACCTCATTTGAAAACATTTTTCTTAGATTGTATTATGACAGCTGTTCTATCAACATGCATTTTAAAAAATTTATCAAAATTGATGAATTTTTGTGTAGCTATTTTAATATTGAAGATAGAAGAAAATATGCAACATTTTTGGTATACTGTGCCTTTATTATTTCAACAAAGGTAAAAATGCAACTGAAATGAAAAAAAAGATTTGTGCAGTGTATAGAGAAGGTACTATGACTGGAATGTGTCAAAAGTAATTTGGGAAGTTTCATGCTGAAGATGCTTCACAGTTAGGTAGACCAGTTGAAGTTGGTAGCCACCAAATCAAGACATTGAGAGCAGTCATCATTTTCCCACACAGGATGTAGCCAACTACTCAGAATATCCAAATCAACAAAGTTATTGGTAAAAATGAAAAATACATCTTTTACTTTATGGGGAAAAACTAAACAGACTTTTTGGCCAGCCCAATATAATTAATCACATAGCAACTGGCTGTTAGTTAACAAATCTTATGTGAGGTTCTTTATATTCTTTTTTTCCTTAAAGACTCACATTTTCTAGTGGTTTTTACTACTTTCTTTTGTTAGGTCTAGAATACTGTGGGTATTTTAAAACATAGTGGTAAGATTTGTGTTTGGAAAAAGCAGATTGATTGAAATCATACAATATATTTCTGGAATGACATTCCAGGAACATGGCATCACTTTCTAGTGCTTTTATGGCCAGAAATGACATCATGCTTTCTCATACAGCTTTCTACTGTATTTCATGATTAAAGCACTTATTAATATACACACATCTTTTTGTGAAATCTGTTTTATAGCCTAATTTGTATATTTAAGACACTGATTGAAACACTTTATACTTAGCCTTTTAAATTTGACTTCTTAAATTAAGAAGTCAGTAGTATTGCCATCTTTGTCATATCCGATCATGGAGATAGATGAGGACATTGCCTGGTCTACATTATTAAAATAGTTTGAGAAACTTCCGGTCAAGATGGCGGCATGGGCAAACATGGCTTTCCTCTTCACACAATGACATCAAAATTACAACTAAAGTATACAGCAACCATCACTCAATACTGTCAGAAATTGAGTTGAATGGAAGTCTAACAACTACGAAGTTGAGTTGAATGGAAATCTGACAACTACAGAATTAAAGAAACCACATCCATCCAGACCGGTATGAGGGGCACAGATGAGGAACAGGTTAGTCCCACACCCACATGTAGTGGGTACAAATTCAGAAGGGATATCTCGGGAGCCAAGAGTCCTAGGCTCCCTGGCCCAGGGTTCCAGTTCCAGGAGGATAAGCCCCTACAACTTCTGACTGCAAAAACCCATGGGGATTGAGTTGGTAAAAGAAACTGCTGGAGCCCCAGGCAGTTCCTCTTAAAGAACCCACACACAGACTCACCTACCGGATTCACTCTGAGCTCCAGCACCAGAGCAGCAGCTTGAAAGGCACCACTGATATACAGGGAGAAACTGAAGTGTCTGGCTTCAAGGTGAACTGAGCCCATTTTCCCTTTTCTAAACTCTTCTCCCCACAAAGCCATTAAGCTGGTGCATATGAGACCCCATCAACCTGGGTAACATGGTTTGATCTGCCTTGGAGATCCCCAGAGACTCTGACCCACCCAACTTATGGGCCCACCAAAACTGCTTTTTTGTATGAATGGCTGGTCTTGGCTTATGCCTTACAACTTCCTAAATCCTATCAAATGAGCAACAGCAGGCCTCCATGAAACTCAGGCTGAGCCTCAGCAGTAGCCAGCTTAGATTCACAGCTTGGCTTTGCCTGGGAAATTCTAAGCCCAGCAGAGTAGCAGCCATCTCAGATTGCTCAATAGCTCAGGCAAGGTGACCCAGGCTAAAGATAGTGAGGGCTGACCTTGGCCTGTACCACCTGGGAAACCCCAGGGCCAGTGCACCCAGTGGATAGCTACAGACCACATTGGAGCACCACCATTCTGCCCTGCACAGCTAATCCTCCACTGGAGGTCAGGTTATGGTCAGTGGTCACAGCCAGACTTTGTAGCTAGCTGGCCTAGGTAAATTCTCCCATTGGTGTGCCAACAGCAACCAAGGCTCAACTACAAGAAGAGGGTGTACTCAGCCCACATGAAGGGTGCACCTCAAGTAACAGTAATATCCTTGGGTGATAGAGGAGGCTGTGTCACTGGACCCTACATGACACCTACTATGTGAAGCCACACTGCCAAGACACAGAGTCAAAGCAGACCTACCTACACAGAAACAAACACAAGGAGGCTGCCAAAAGGAGGAGATAAAGGAACATGGCCCAAATGAAAGAACAGATCAAAACTCCAGCAAAAGAGGTAAGCTAAATGGAGACAGACAAATCTATCAGATGCAGAGTTCAAAACACTGGTTATAAGGATGCCCAAGGAACTTAGTGAGGACCTCAACAGCGTAAGAAAGATCCAGTCAGAAACAAAGGATGCACTAATTGAAATGAACGATTTACAAGGAAACAACAGTAGAGTGGGTGAAGCCAAGAATCAGATCAATGATTTGGAACATAAGGAAGCAAACAAACAACTAATCAGAATAAGAAGGGAAAAGAATCCCCCAAAATGAGAATATAAGCAGCCTCTGGGACAAATTCAAGAGGTTCGACATTTGTATCATAGGAGTGCCAGAAGGAGGAAAGAGCAAAAAGTTGGAAATCTATTTGAAAAAATAATGGAAGAAAACTTACCTAATTTGGCAAAAGAAATAGACATGCAAGTCCAGGAAGCATAGAGAGTCCCAAACAAGATGTGAAGAGGCCCACTCCAAGACACGTAATGAAAATGCCAGACACAGTGCCCTCGGCGGTCCTGGGATCTGTCTCTTGCTTCAACAGGGTTTGGACAGAACAGACCTAGGGACACCCCTCCTTTCCAACTCCCTTCCACCTCCTTTTTTAGTGACCATCTTCGAAACCACCTCAGCCTCCGAGACCAGCTGGCACCGTTTTTTCGACCTTAATTCTTCACTGCCGAACATTTGTATCATGAGCTCCCAAATTCACCAGAATTATCCTACTGAGGTGGAGGCGGCCATCAACTGCCTGGCCAACGTGCATCTGCGGGCCTCCTACACCTACCTCTCTCTGGGCTTCTATTTCGACCCGGACGATGTGGCTCTGGAGGGAGTGGGCCACTTCTTCCGAGAGTTGGTGGAGAAGAAGCGTGAGGGCTCTGAGCGTCTCTTAAAGCTGCAAAACCAGCGCAGTTGCCGCATTCTTCTCCAGGATGTGGCGAAGCCTTCCCAAGATGAATGGGGTAAAACTCAGGACACCATGGAAGCAGCCTTGGCCTTGGAGAAGACCCCGAACCAGGCCCTTTTGGATCTGCATGCCCTGGCTTCTACCCACACAGACCCTCATCTCTGTGACTTCCTGGAGAACCATTTCCTCAACAAGGAGGTGAAGCTCCTCAAGAAGATGGGCGACCACCTGACTAACATCCATGGGCTGGGTGGCCCAAGCTGGGATGGGAGAGTATCTCTTTGAAAGACCAACCCTCAAGCACGACTAGAAAGCCTTTGGAGCGCAGAGACCTTCAAGGGGCCCCTCTGCATTTCCCTGGTGTCTGGCTTTTGTCTGAACCTCATAACCCTGGAACCCTCTCCCATGCATTGGACCAAATGGAAACAATAAAGCTTTCTGCAGCAAAAAAAAAGGAAGGAAGGAAGGAAGGAAGGAAGGAAGGAAGGAAGGAAGGAAGGAAGGAAGGAAGGAAGGAAGCCAGCCAAAGGTTATAAATAGAGACTCTTAAAAGCAGCAAGAGAGAGGTTAGTTACCTGCAGGGGAGTTCCCATAAGGCTGTCAGCTGATTTCTCAAAAGAAACTTCTCAGGCTAGAAGGGACTGACAAGGAATATTCAAAGTCATGAAGAGCAGGGACCTACAGCCAAGATTGTTCTACTCAGCAAAGCTATGGTTTAGAATTGAAGGGCAGATAAAGAGCTTCTCAGAGAAGAAAAAATTTAGAGTTCATTATCACCAAACCATTACTATATGAAATGTTAAAGGGACTTATTTAAGAAAAAGAAGATCAAAACTATTAATAATGTGGCAATAAATACATATCTGTCAACAATTATCTAAAAAGCAAATGAAGCATACAAGAAGAACAGAGACAGAATCATGGATATGGGGAGTGTTTTGATGGTTGCCAGATAGGAGAGGTGTGGGGATTAAGAAGTACTAATAGGTAGTTACAGAATAGCCGCGGGGATATAAAGTACAGTGTAGGAAATGGAGTAGCCAAAGAACTTATTTGCTTGATCCATGGACACGAGGGGGCAAAGGAGGAAAGATTGGGAACTGTTAACAGCATAATCAATAAAATATAACTTTAAAAATAAAATATGTGAAACCCTTGGAAAAATGGCAAGCTTTATACCATTAATTATAAGTATTAGTATATTCTTAATTAAAATGTCATGTTAAATTTCATTCTGTGAGAGCCAGTTTCTTTGTTTTTATTTTCAGAATCCTCTGCCTAACTTATTTGCCACCCTTTAATTTATCTCCTCTGTCAATGTGACATCTTCTTCGTGTGATCACTTTATAGATGCTATTTTTTTTCCTTCAGCAGAGTCTCTTGTGACCTAAAGTAAGAATCCAGTAAAGGTTGCTGGACAGCAAACTAAGTGATAGAAGTGAGGGAAAGAAACAGTTTTGTTTAGCTTTGTTTTTCCCCTGAGGACTGGGATCAAATCACTGGATTAACATGCATCTGCTGTGTGTGTGTGTGTGTGTGTGTGTGTGTGTGTGTGTGTGTGTGATGTCTTTTAGGGAGAACTTGAACGGCAGCTTTTGCAAGCTAATCCAATTCTGGAATCATTTGGAAATGCGAAGACTGTGAAAAATGATAACTCATCTCGTTTTGTAAGTTGAAAAGGATCAGAAACTTTTCATTCCTCAGTTCTCTAGTTAAATGTCTGCTATGATTAACTATACTTTCTAGAGTTTTAGAAGAAGCTAATTAATGTAGTATGAAAAAGTACTAGCTAATAGAAATATAATGCAAGTTCCCTGTAATTTAAAATTTTCTAGTAGGCATATTTTAAAAAGCAATGAAAGGGAAAAATGTGAAGATAATTATAATCACATTTATTCTATATAAATATATAATTATATATTATTGAATGGATATATATAATGATATAACCTCTCCGAGTTTAATTTATTACCTTTGATTGGGGATGATATATAATGCCTTTAGGGGGTTGGTGTGGAGATTTAAAGATGCTTGTTTTCTACTAAACCCAGTAGTGGGCAAAGTAAATGCTCAACAAATAAGGTTGGTATTCAATATAGTAAATTGTCCTTTTTGTACCTTACTGTTTCTATGACATATGGACTTCAGAATAATTTGTCATTACTATTACTTTTCTTTAAAAATTCTTCTTCCCCTGGCCAGGTCACTCAATCACTTGGAGCATTATTCCATACTCCAAAACATTGCTGGTTTGATTCCTGGTCAGGGCATGTACCTAGGCTGTGGGTTCAGTCCCTGGCCAGGGCATGTACAGAAAGTACCGTATTTTTCAGACTATAAGATGTGCACCCTCTCTCCGCTCATTTGGAAGGAATAATGGTTGTCACTGCTGGTGTTGAGTTCTGTTTACATTAACATTGGTGAAATATTGTTATTTATTTTATTAAATATTTTACCACATTTTTTTGCTTCAAATTTTTGTTTCCTATTTTCCTCCTCTAAAACCTAGGTGTGTCTTACAGTCCAAAAATATGGGTAACTGATGTTTCTGTCTTACATTGATGTTTCTCCTCTTCTCTTCTCTTCTCTTCTCTTCTCTTCTCTTCTCTTCTCTTCTCTTCTCTTCTTTTCTCTTCTCTCTTTCAAATTGATAAAAACATATCCTGGGATGAGCATTTAAAAAAAAAGTCTGTTCAACTATCTTAATTCGTTGAAAGCTTTACTTGCTCCTTCAGTGTGATCAACTATAACAGTTTGCCTGAGAATATTGTTGTAAGTGATAGCCACATTGGTATTAGTACGAGGATACCATCCTCCCCAGTCCACCTGCTCAGAATCAACCTTTAATGGCAAATCATCTCCAAACACCCATTCAACAAAGTAAAATGGGCATTCCTTCAGTAACTGTTTACTCTGGATTATAGTCATCAAGATTCAATGACCATTTCTGTGGTCATTTTGAAAAGGGTCTACAATTTCAGTTATTTCTACTTGAATTGTTTGAGTTAATTCTGTTTTTTCTCCTTCTGATATTAGAAGTATTGGCAAAAGTATTGGGAAATCTAAAATCATTGTCATACACTTTTTTATTCTGGAAATGTAAAGTCATGGGTTGCATGTAACCTTTCTGATGACATGGTCTCTTTGCTCAGTGGAAGTGACCAGATTCAAGATCACAGAGGGCCTGGTAAACAGAAAGGTAGCCCGACAGCCCTCTGAGTTTGCCAGGGTGGCCCTAAAAGCACCACAGACTGGGGACTTAAACCACAGAAATTAGTGTCCGCACGCTTAGAGGCTGGAAGTCTCCGGTTAAGGTGTTGGCAGGGTTGGTTTCTTCTCAGAAGACCTCTCCTCTTGGCTTGCAGGCGACCATCTTCTCCCTGTGACTTCAAGTGGTCTTCCCTCTGTGTGTGCCTGTGGCCTATTCTTACAAGGACCACCATCATTTTGGATAGGATTAGGAACCTCCATAATAACCTCATTTTAACTTCATTTCCTGTGAGAGACCTGATCTCCAAATATCCTCATGTTCTGAGGTGCTGGGAGTTAGTGCTTGAATATATGAACTAGAAGGATGGGGGCCAAATTTAGCCCATAACACCAGCAGAGAGAGTGGAAGTACAAGAGGCTTCCCAAGCTGTGTAACAAATAGGGATCTATTTGCTTGGAATATTGTTTATTCCTAGTAAGGCAAAATTTGACGATTCACTTAATCCACATTCATCTAGTAACTATTTTATTTTTTATGTACAAAGCGAGATAACAAATGTGCCTGTGGCAGTAGGAAGCCTGGCTGTGACTCCTGGATTTACAGAACATCTGGGGAAGCTGCACTTTGTTTACAGAGTTTCTGCCATTCCATGGGTCATCACCACTGAGCCTGAGCCACAATTAAATCTTAAAGTTTTCCTACCGAAAGCCCTGTGTTTAGCGGCTGTATCATGAGACAGAAGAAACAGTGAGCTGCCCGCTTAGGTATGTGAATCTCCGTGAAGATTTTCAAAGACTTCGTAGTGGAAAATATTTTATTTCACCACATAATCAAGTTACTAGTCCATTCCGACTTTCTCCCCTAAACAACACTTTAAATTCAGGAGGAAGAGTTTTGAGCTTGTTTGTCTCATTTTTGCACAGAAAAGATAAATTGCTACTAATCAGTCGTTTGTGTCTTAGAATGTAGTGATTCTGTTAGTAAGTGGTAAGGGTTCATATACTTGCCAGGGTTTCTGCATTTGAGACAGTCAGAAGTGCAATTCTGTGTCAGTGACCATTGCTGTATAACAAACTACCCTAAAACCTAGTGACTTAAACAGAGTCCCTGTGCGGTGGGTGGTTCTGGCTCAGGATCTCTCATGAGGTTGTCGTGTAGATGTTGTTGGCTAGAGCTACAGCATCTTCTTCCAAGCTTACTGAGGTAGCTTTTGTCAAGGAGCCTCAGTTCCTCGGAGTGGTCGCCTTCGGTCCTCACCTTGAAGGCCTCTCCATAGAGCTGCATGCTCCTGATATGACCCCTGGCCTCCTCCCAGAGCAAATGCTCCAAGAAGGCAAGACATGAGCCACACAGCGTTTTTATGACCCCACCTCGGAAGTCACAGGCCATAACATATTCTATTGGTCACACAGACCCACCCCAACACAGTGTGTGAGGGAACTACATAGTGGTGTGGATATCAGAAGGTAGGGGTTATTCGACTCACCTTGGGAATTGGCTACCCCAAATCATTAGTGAGATTTCCATGCTGATATATGTAGGTTATAATCTCTAATTTGCAACATTTTGGATCAGTACTTCTCCACTGCGGACCCCCCAGGGGGCATTTCGTAGTGTCTGGGGACAGTTTTGGTGGTTCAACTCAGGCAGTGGGTAGTGTGTGCATCTGGCGTCTGCTGGGTAGAGGCCGGGGTTGCCACCAAACATCTGTGGTGCACAGGCAGGCCCTGCAGCAGCGGGTTACCGAGCCCAAAATGTCAGGCATGTCGAGGTTGAGAAACCTTGCTGTAGCTTGTTCCTTTAAATTATAGTCTAAATTAGGGTAGTTAACTTGCCGAAATTTATTTGCAAAATAACTACTATACATGAATCTACTTAATGCTTGTTATTTATATATCCTAGTTCAAAGATTAACAGTTCTGGTAGGAACTCGTATGTTCCATTGGTAGGAAGAATTCCTTAGACTGTTTACTAGCAAGATTGATTCTAGGCAGAATCCCCCATCCGATCTAAATTCTCAGCAAACCCTGTTTCAGTTGAAGACCCACCTACCACAGTGCATGTGCTGCTGTGCAATAATC